GGGGGTATGGAGGGGCAGGGGCTGCGGGCAGGCAGGCTCCAGGCCTGAGCGCCCCCTGCACAGACTGCTGTAGCTGGTGTGTCCCCCGCGCGCTGTCGTGTGTAGCACTGCGGGCTGAGCCACCCAGGGTCCTGGCCGGCACCCCTCCCTTCCAGCACCGCCGGGGGAGTCCCCTGCTTGGAGCGCTGCCCTCCTGCTTCCAGAGCTGCCTGGCCGTGCCAGGGCCCCGCAGCGCTCGGCTCCACTGCCTTCCGGGTGGAGAAATGGCTCTGCCCCCGCCTGCAGGTCCGTGCTCGGGCGCGGGGACTCCAGTAGCATTCTCTCAGCATTAAAGAGATGTGGAATTCGAGCCTGCCCCGCGCTCCTCACTGCCGGGGGACGGGGGATCCAGGGCTGCGTGGACCAGGCTCCCTGTCCCTTCCTTGCACAGGAACTCTGTGCAGCAGGGCCCAGCTGGGCCTGTGCACCCCTGCCTGGCCCTGGCTGCTCCAGGCCTGGAGATGGCACTGGGCCTGATCCCAGCTGAGGGGCGGAGTACAGGAATGACCCTCCTGCCTCCCCCTTCCCCTGGCCGTGTGCAGCCCTACCCTGCCCCAGAACTATGCCCCCCTGCCCCAGGCAGGCATAAACAAGAGATTCAAGTTTTTCCACTTTATTAAGAAAGCTTCCTGGGCGCAGCTGGTGTGGAGATCGCTGCATCCGTTTCTCGCCCCCAGAAGCAGCCGGGCTGCATCATCCACAAAAAAACCCTGAGAAGGACGAGCAGGGCCAGGAGCTGCTGGGGGCCAGAAACCCACACTCCTGGCCTGCTCACAGCAGCTCAGCCAGGTGGCAGGGGCCGCGCTCCTACCCCCTAGTACTCCTCGGCCATCACAAGCACTACCAGGGCAGACCAGCCGGTGAAGGGGTGGCAACCCTGGCCGCGCCCGGTGCTGTCATTGTACTGCTCCCACAGGTACCCGCTGGCCACGTACTGCCGGTACAGGTTACCCACCAGGTTGATGCGCAGCTCGCGGTAGATCTGGGCCGCCCGCGCCTGCTGCGACCCCGGCAGCCCGGCATAGTGGTGCAACGCCCGCAGCGCCAGGTAGTTGATGTTGACCCAGATGGGACCGCGCCAGTACGGTGCGTCATGCTCCGTGTTGCGCTGCATGTAGAGGGGGCTGGTGGGCGCCAGCGAGCGCAGGCCGAAGGGCGTCCACAACTTGGCCTCGCTGCGCAGGTCGGCCAGCACGGCACCCAGGCGCGGCGAGTCAGGCTGCAGCAGCTGCAGCAGGAAGGGGAAGAGACTGACGTAGCCCAGCGCCTCCACAAAGCGTGGCCGTGGCGGCTCCCGCACCACCCGCACCAAGCGGGGTGGAGGCAGCTGGTGCCGCGGCTGCCCTGGGGGCACCACCAGGCGCTCGCGCTCCAGCCCCACGGCCCGGCTGTGGTTGCCGTAGTCAGCGAAGGTGCCCAGCTCCGCGGCCCAGTGATGCTGCTCCAGCAGGGCATTGTCACTCAGTGCCTGCGCCAGGTGCTGGTACTCAGTCGCCGGCTCGCCCAGCCGCTCAGCCACGTCAGCCATGACGCTGGAGGCCAGCGCCATCCAGCAGCGCAGGTCCAAGTGCCGCTCGTCAGGCGAGGGGTGCGAGGCACGCGGGTAGTCGTCCAGCCCTGAGGCCAGCGTCTTGGGGTTGAGGAAGAGCTTGGTGTCGGTGTCACGGCCGCGCCAGCGGAAGGTGTAGGGCAGCGGCCCGGCCTGCGTGCGGTTGTACCAGTCGTACCAGGCCTGCAGGGGGGGGGAGAGGCGGCGGCGGGCGGGG